AAAACTTTCTAGACACTGTTCCTTTGAAAATAAATCTGAAAAAATGTTCAAATATAAAAAAAAAAAAATAAATAAATAAATAATAAATAATTAGTTAGCTGAATAAAAATTAATAAAAAATAGAATAAAAGCTGTACATTAAGAAAGTGTCAGTCATCCAATTCTTAAGCCTTTCATGTAGGCACAAGGCTCACCTGTGGCCAAGCGGTAAAAACGCTAAACACTGGTTGCTTGGTCCGGGGTTCAAATCCCGATGGAAAGGCTGATTGCATGGGCACTTCTGTGGTTTTTCCCTTACGTAACATGTATATGAGCGAGTTTCCTTTAAAACCTCCTCCACGAAAGCATACCTTCCTTTGGCTTAGTGTCATTTCATTCGTTCTCTTTTCATGCCCAGTTCAAAATAGTGTCGTTTGTTCGCTGCTGTTTGCACTTATTCCATCTTTCCCATTTCATTCATTGTTCGAAAAGTCACTTTATGATTAAGCAAAGGTATATTCAGATGAAATGACCCTTACTACTTTGACCTGAATTAGCCTTTGAGTTCTAATATTTATTAAACATTTGTTTAGATAAATTTATTGAGCAGAATAATGAATTTCAGACATGTTCAAAAGGTGTGTTTTTGAATCTAACTCAATTTTTGTCATATAGTGTCCATTTTTTAATTTCACATAAATCTAAAGAAATAGAACCACTATTCCTTTGCTTTGACAGAAAATAAAAATGTAGCAAGTGTATAATGAAGATGTACATAATTTATTAAAAATATAGTGAGCCCTTTATAAACGCAACCGTTCACGGTTTTAAAGGATTTTGGTTGTAGATATGGTGGTCTTAGAAATGTGATATTCGCTGGCAATGTTTGTTTATGTTCACAAAAAATACAGGTCGCTTTCAAAAGGCGACCTCTTAGAAATGTCATCAATAGATATAATTCACTATAATTACTTTCTAATGGATAATGGAATTAATTTAATCTAATGTCAATTAGAAAATGGCTATTTACAATAGGGAGGTTTAAAAGCACTATATCTGTAATTAAGAGCACTGTAATTTTCTTTTTCCACAATCAGCTGTTATATAAGATTAGCTGCTTTCTGTGTATTTTTCATGTTATATAACTGATATCCATACGTCTTGAACAAATATACAGCAAATGCAAGACAAATTATTAAAAAATTACAATTTGAAACATTAATACTAATTTTCTATTACTATACATAATACTATTAATGAATGATGAATTTATATAATTTGTATACTTAGAATCTAAAAACGATGAACTTTGAATCTGATGACTCTATAAATAAATATTTATGTAGTTACAAAATTTTAGTAGATGTTATTATATGCATAGCTCTTTATAATCTTCACAATCTCTAATAAAATGCTACATATTTATTACTATAATTTGAGGCCATTGTACTTAAATTTGTAGATATGTTGACTTCTAAGAATTGTTCCATCCCCCCCCAAATAAATAAATAAATAAATGAAAATTAAAAACACTACTCTAAATTGCTGTAGTTAAAAGATTAAAAGGTTACATTTGGAATTCGTTTTTTGACAGGGTGTCAGCTAACAGTTCTAATTTATTCAGAAATCTAAAAGAAAATATCTCTAGAAAATCGCCAAATTATAATTGTTACATTCAAAACAGCTTTCAATGAGAAATATGTTTAAAATTTGATAATAAGCTCAGTCTAAAGTAAAGAATAAAATATGCCTTAGCCAAGTTTTCATTGTCCTTAACTGTTTTCATATTCCTGAACTAAAAGGAACTAAAGGAAAAACTAAAAAGTAATAAAATAAAATTCAACTGTTTTAATTAAAAGTTAATAGTTTTAATAATGAAACATATTATTTAATCTCAGCCATATTATCTTAAAAATAGCATGTGAGAAACTCCACAATGATATTTTTCATTTTCACATGCACATACCAAAGTTAAATAAGTATATAAGTAATAAAATGCAATTTCAGATTTATCATCAAAACGTTATAGCTAATCACTTAATCAGAGAGTAGAAAAATTGCTTTCAACATAATAAATTAAACAAATAAAGTAGTGATAAAATATACAAACAGACATATTTGAGACATTAAAAATCAGTTCTGAATACTCCATTTATTATAATTCAAATTATAAATACACAGTTTAGTAATAATAAAGCATAAGTCCCTTTTGATTATGTGCACTTTTATCAGTGTGGGCTTTTATCAGCGTAGGCTTATACCTATGTCGGCTTTTATCAATGTGGGCTTTCATCAATGTGTGCTTTTATTGCTGTGGGTATTTGTCGCGTGGGCAATTATCACAGTGGACATTTTTTTGTGGGCTTTTGCTGCGTGGGATTTTGTCTGGGAACCCATTGTGCAATATGAAAGTAGCTATTAACAACAGTATTACTTACATTTCAATTCAAAAAGATTTTTTAATTAATACCTTTCTTTCACAACAAATGCATTACATATTTATCAATAATATTTGGTTTACTTTTTATCCCACTAATATACAGATATTAATTACTCAGTTAAATGTTAAACATTTCAAAGAATATGCACTGTAAATTTAGAAACACACAGGTGGTCATTGCAAATGGGAAACCAAAAATTATTTTATATATACAAGCTATAAATAGGCAGTGAAAGTACAGAGTGTCTATCAAAATAGTCTCTGATTTCGAAATTTTAAGATAGATAGAGGACTACAACAAATAGTATATTTATTGTGAAAGCTGTAAGATTGTTACACAAAAGTTTTCACATGATATTTACAAGAGCTACAAACAAATGGTGCTATAATTTCAATACGTAATGTGTATAAATAGTGCTCTAAAAGATGTGACAGCAATCATTTTCACCCTTTAAACATGAAAACAGGTTAGCATATAGAATGAAGAGGTTGAAATCATGCATTCCATTGAACGTGTGCTCTGGTACTGGAATACCAGAGATTAGAACATAGTCCTATGGCAACAAGACATAGTTTTCAAACATGATTGAATGTTCCCAAAGAACATCATATGAAAACCATTCAAAAGCTCTTCATTTTTGTCCAACAGACAGGCAGTATGGCCGATGATTTGATAGGGAGTTTTGCTCCCATGCAAACTGTAGTTACTCCTGAAAATGTCACAACTGTTTCTGGAATTATTCAACAAAATCTAAGGAAATCTGTCTGAAGAATTGCAGCAGAGAGTGGTTTGAAGCATTCCAGAATGCAGAAAATACTGTGAAACAGGCTAGACATGTTTCCATTCAAAATCCAAAGTCGCCAGATACCAGCACACAGCACCATCACTGAAACTCTCCTTTGGAAACTTCTGTATAACAATCTTACAGCTTTTACAATAAATATAATGCTTGTTATATTCCTCTATTAATCTTTGTTTTCGAGATTTTTAATTTTGAAATCAGAGACTCCTTTGGTGGACACCTTGTAGAAAGCAGCAGCTTGAGAATCTGCTAGCAGAATCATTTAGATAGGCATAAAATTGCTAAGACCAAATTGAATTTTCTTGTGGAATGCTTTGAGAAATTTTATGCAGTTGAAGAATAATATGAGTTAACCTTTAATCAACTATTTTAATAAACAGTGTAGATTTTTGTGACTTAAATCTACTAAATCACTTTCAGTATTTCTCACACACATGCAAGCATGTGTGTGATATATTTGTGCATGAGTTTACATATACATATAGGTATAATATTATACAAACGAAAATGTATTAAGTTTCTATACACAATGCAGAAACGTAGAATGGCGTAATACATCAATGATCACATGTAAAGTGTACCATAGTATAGTGGTTGTTGCAAAAAGTAAGATGAAAAGCAGTTTCATTATTTGGCATCACAGTATCAAACATCAAAACTGCGTTCCCTTGAGCTTCAAATTTGTAATATAACAAAAGGACAACTGAAAATCATAATAAAGTTTTAAGTTACTAAAAGGGGACTAACCAATAAATCCACAAAAGGCAAAAATGCATAGATTAGCAAAAGAAAGAAATCAGGCATAATGAATAAAAAGACTGTCCTATTGCATAACAATACTTGTCTCCATGTTACTAAATTAACAAGTCACTATCTAGGGTAAGTAATTTTCTAGGGAATTGATGAGGTATTCTTTATAAAAATTATTTAAGGTATTACATCATGATTAACAGAAGTCAGCTAACTAGCCCTTATGTCTGCTCCAATAAAAAAACACATGTGTGGAACTCACATTAACTCAGATGATCATTTTAAGATAAAGGTTCAGAACATATTATATGCACAGCAAAAGGATATTATGTGGAGGGAATTAGAACATTGGCTGGTCAGTGAAATAAGTAGGTTAATAATTATGGAGAACTCTCCTTTTGATGGATTAATAAAAGAGGTGCACAGCTTGGTATGTATATTTTCATATAAGTGGTTTAATATATGATACTTATGATGTTATATACCAGAAATTTTAACCAGGTTGTATATGATATACAAGAAATTGCTGAAAGAATAAAGATTGTTTGATGCATATTTTATTAAAATATTTTGTTAGATATTTTTAAAATATCATACAGTATTATAGCCAGTTCACTGGAACTCAAAATTGTAATTTTGATGTATTAAGAATAGTTTAAAACATTTTATTTTGTCGAATTACCAAAAGGGCAACAAATTGTGAAAGTAGGTTTCACATGTTCAGTTAAGAATGAATAGAAATTAAACAAATTAAATTTTACAGTTTTATGACTTGTAATTTATTTTTTACATGGGTAGATTTTGCATTTCTAATTTAATTAGTTCCTCATGAATAAATCATACAGATTAGAATGCTGATTTCTATAAATACAGTTCCAGTGAATGCTTGACATTCATAATACCAAAAATGATTATGGTAATTTTTTTTCCATCTTTTAATCATTTTTGGCATTAAAATGATCATAAATGAATTCAACAAACTACTTTTTAATGCATAAAGCTGCTCATACACAGAAAACTGTAGTTACCTGGGAACTGCCATTACAAAAGTATCTGCAGCATTTCGCCTAAATAATTTTCTTTTGTTGTCTTCCAAAGTTCGAACAGCTGTTTCATCATCATCACCAGATAGAATAAATTGGACCTTCATCAAAGAAACAAGTCTTGTAAAAAAATAAATTATGCATTTGAATATTTAAAATTCACATGGAATAAAAAATATATAAAAATTAAAATCATGCTATGAGGTAATATAATATACAGATTACAAAATCCTTGCAGTTTCTGATTTTGTATATGATGTGCATTATATTCAATATAATTCTTTTAGTTCCCCAGCTGTTAGTTTTCCCTTATTTTTATACTAATACGTACTTATTTTTAATTAACTTACTTATTTTTGTACTATATGCAAATATTTCTTTACTTATATGCACTTATAGATATAATTTCTATTAATTTTCACCAATAAAATATTTGAATAGAAATTGAAGCTAACTTCATACCAAATGTTTTTATAACATTATATGTCAATTTGAAGAAGGATAGCAAGTAATGCCACAGTATTGTAATAAATTTTTAATATTTATTTCAGTCTGTCAAAAAATATGTCTCACAAAAATTTTATATAATGAATATAAACAAAATCTGAAATGTTTCAGATTTTAAATTATGTCCAAAGGGGCGTTTTTTAAATTTTGTGTGTTACTTTCTTATTTAAATATCATGTTCTTCGCACTTAAACCATAAGATCCAGTGCAACAGCAATATCGCAAAATAGTTTTAAAATGAGCATATCTTTAGAATTTCCGATACACGAGACTCACGCGCTGGAGATAAAAATGTTTTTCCCCTGCCCAAGAGTGTTGCCATTGCTCGCTTTTAAATCCTTGAGTTTTTTAATCAAAAATTCGTCAAAGTTTTAAAAATATGGAAATCGATCATAAAACAAATTCCAAATTTCAAATTTGGGATCTTCCACATGCCCATATTCGCAGTAGGATTACGTTATTCAAAATTGGATGGCTCTAGATATAGTTGTTTTATCACAATGCAAGAAATATACATACATTTATGCTGATTTTTCATTATTTAATTTCTTCAAATATAATGCAGGACTCTAACATTTTGTGGCACCAGTTTGAAAAGTGAACCGACATTTAGAGGAGTCTGATGCAAAATGCCAAAACCAAAGTAATAGTCCTTTGAGACTCAAATCCCTTTGGACTAAAAATTTTACATCAATTTTCTTTCCTGACTATTAATCTAATTTTTATGGCAGAAAAGAAGAAGATAATAAATAACACTAAAATCAAACAGGAAAACTTTACATTATTATGAGCAAAAAAATTAAGAATTATTCTTTATCAGTCAGGTATTATTTCATGAAGCATGAATAACTGCAGTGCTTTAGATGATAAATAAGCCAAAAATTAAAGAAAGAATGTTATTGAAAAATGTACATATTTTGTAACAGTACAAAAAGTAGTTATTGTTTGATGTCATAATACAGCTGATTTAAGTGAATATGATTACAGATTTGGAAGAATAATTGATTGACACAAAGTTCGTATAAAGATAGTTTCATAAAGACTTTGTTAGAAACAAAATGTTTGTTTGTTTGCTATATCTACAAAATAATTAAATAAAAATTTGCAATAATAGGTATAAGTCATCTGGAGTAAAACATCTGTAATAATAACTTAAGTATTTTCAAACCGCAACTATGCAGTAGCAAAATACTAAAACTGAGATCTGAATCGTATACTAGTACTTTTTAATGCAATGGAAATACCAAAACTATTAGTAAATAATCTGTGTAGATAACTGTGAGTTACTTATTTTTATTAAAGGTGAGAATTTAATATTTTTATATGATAGTTATTAAATCAATGCTGCTTCTTGGAATTCAAGGCTTAAAAGCCAGATTTTTAAATAAATTAATTGAATTATCAGTTTATGTGCTAAAAATTAAAACTTTCATTACTCACCTTAGAATCAGTTGCAGCTGCATCTTTATTTCCAGTAACTACTATCATTTCATACAGGTATTTATCTTCTGGGTCATTATCAGGTAATGGAGTTGCTCCTAGCTGTAAAAACCATTTTATTTTTGATTAAATTATTAATATAAGTGTGAATACTTTAAGTTTTCAGTTGTAGAACTACTAGTAGCTTATCCTCAAAATCAAATTGAATGTATATAAATTGAATATTTAGCTTTTCACAATGCAGTTTTAAACTCGGAAATGATATTTAGCACTGCAAAGTTTTTCAATTAATCAATAATTCCAGCAAGGTAATAATGCTAAATTTCTAGATATAAGACTTAAATTTAAAGCAGGTACTAGACAAATTAAAATTGCACATATAAATAAATAACCTCAATAACTACTATTAAAACTTTAAAAAAAAGTAACAATAACAGCTTTAACAGAACTTTTTTAAAGAGTGCAATATGTAAAACTTTACCTTTTCTTTATCTTTAATATCTTGTCGACGAGCCCAGGCTAATAAAGCCAAATAAATTAACATGATATTAATTATTGTCATGTATATAGTAACATTATCTGCAAATCCTGCATTTGCAAAGACATAGCTGAAATCAACTGTGTTTGGTGCAACAAAGAATCCACCTCCAAATGAAGTCAAATGGTTGCACTTGCACTGGGTCAGAGCAGCTGTAGCATTTTCTACCTATTGTTGAAAATAAAAGTGTAGCTATCAGAATAGAACACAATGCATTTAACATTTAGATATAGAAATGTAGTGCCATTTTAATACCTTTTGAGAGAAATTCTAAATGAGACACTTTTATTATCATCAAAAATCAAGATTACGTACAAGAGTACCTTGCTTTTATGAGTTAATTCACTTCTAAGAGAAATTCATAAAGCAGAAGTCTGTAAAGCAAGGCTTAATTATTAATTTGAAATTTGGTGTTAATGGCATGGCAACAGTATACTATTTAATGCCATGCCAGTGGCACCAAATAATATACTATTGGCAAATAACTTATGCTAGTTTTGGCAATTTTCAATGCCTAAAAGATTACTTTTTAAAAGATGAATTAATAACAAATAATTTTGTAAAGTATGACTATAATTTAATTCTACATATGTAACAAAACAAAGGAACTAGAAAAAGCTATTTTTTAGTTTTATTTATTTTTTAAATGTTCAAAATAATTTTAAAATCAGTTTCATTTTTGAATTGCATTTATTTAAGAGACTCTTATAATTGCATATTCTGCTAGTGGATTGATCATTATGGAAGAAAGTCTGTAAAGAGAATTTTACTTAATTAAATGCAAATGCTTCTTATTTCATTAGTCTATGTAACACCATTATGGATTCTATAATATGATTTTAAAATATGAATCTTGTAATTACAGTAACTAGGTAACCATTTTCCAAATAATTTAATAAATACAATCTATAAAAAATATCATAAGTACATAAAATATGTGCAACTTACATAACATCCTGCACCAGACCATATCCTAAGGTCATAATTATAGAAATAGCATCCAGATGTATATATTCTAACAGAGTAATTGGTGGAAAAGTCTCTAACTGCTTCACCATGTGTGAAATTGACACTGCTATCAAACAGCATATCATCAGGAATAGAATTGTTCAGGGCAGTGTTATTTGCTTCAATAATACCCAAATAAAAGAAGCCAGTTCGGTTTTGGATCACTTCATTGTTAAGGAACAGATCATAAGTACCTGTAATTTCACATGTTAGATCAATTTATTTTGAATTACATAAAAACAAAGTTTTTTAACACAAAATATTAGTAACATGGGTACAAATTATTATGTTATTTTATTTGATAATATAATAGCAGTATCATCTTAAATATATAATTTGCTTTTCCTCACAAAAAAGAGGGGGGAGTAATTTAAATATTTTAAAACGAACATTAACAGTGTACTCTAAGTTTTATTACTTATTGTTTATGAAGGGAAATATACAGATTTTTAACCTAGTGATTCAATCATAATTTATTAATTTCCAATGCTTTGTAAATAAAGAAGCATTCAGTTAGGGAGTGGAAGCAATTAATTCAGAAAATAATTAAGACTAATGATGATTCCTTATTATTATAGCCCCCATTATTAAACAGCGTTGACAGCCTTCTTATTAATGCAATGTACCAAAACAGCAACCCTACTTACAGTTCTTCTCATCATGAACAGAGTATAAATGGGTATAGAAACAAGCATGATGATGATGACTGTAGTATCATCTCAGCCATACAGTCATCATCATCATGCTTGTTTTGGCTGGGGTTTGGCTGAAGGATGATCCACTCTGATAAGTAGGTGATAATCCTGAGTGGTAAATACACTGGTCAGTAGCCTGCTCAGCAACGAGTAGTAATAGCACTCTGTAAATTGACATTGTTGAGACTGCCAACTGTTTGGCCATGGTTTGCAATAAACGGCCAGCACCATCAATAAAATAACAGAGATCGTATTAATAAGAATATTAATCTAGTAATGCTAACAATAAAAAATCTAAAATTTTTAAGGACAACCTGAAGTTCTTTGTATTTTTATTCTCTTAATTCAGGTTTTGAAAATCTTAAACTTAAATATTTTAGATCAGTTTTTTAGATTCAGTTTTATTTTAAAACTGATAAACTTGCATGTAAATTATCAAGCTTCGTAAATATAATGCATGCAATGATAAACACTTCAAATCTAAGCAAAATTTACTTAAATCATTCCCTGAAATCTGAAAATTATCAAATATATTATCTTAAATAGATTATAAATATATGATAAAAAATAATTAAAGATACTTCCATTATAACAAATAAAACTTGGGGGAAAAACTATCTGTAACCATGCCTTGCAACATAAGAAACAATTATATTTATTATAACAAAATATAATTTATTGCAAACTTTAAAATTGTTAATACTAATATTGCTACGAATTTTTTTCGAAGTCCAATAAATGTAAATATCTGAAAATTTATACAAAAAAACTTTTTATGATTTGTATATTTAAATACATTTAATTTTTCAGAAATAAAATTCAGTCATTTTTTTAAAATTTACTATTAGCCTACAATAAGTTGATGTTTATTAAAACCTTTTTTCATATGATTCCTAAATTCTGTTTTTCTAAATAGCACACAGTGTTAAAAAAGTGCTAAGGTATAGTTAATATGCAAACATAATCAGAAAAATGAAATGACATTATTAAAGTACATTAATAATTCATATTATTCAAAAAGATAAACAGTGAAAATCATTATAAAATAAAAAATGAATATATGATGAAAAACTAACCATGCAGTTACGTGTAACATACCATTTACTTCTCTGACATTTGCCAGATTTATCATTATATCATAAGAATTTAGCAAGGGCTTTACTCTGTGTTTGACAAACACAAGTAATTCAACATCTGGGTCAGTAGGTGTTATTTCAATATTAACGGCAGAATCAGCTTTTTCAACAATGAATTGGTGATAAACCATTTGCTCATTCCATTTGATGACTGCATGAACAAAATTTGGCTCTGGTAATGCCTGAAAGTAATAAAAGATAATACAATGCTTATTATCACAGAAAAAAATAAAATTTTAATGTGAACAATAAATGAGTTTAATTTTTTAAGAACTGAATATCACCAAGGCCAGTTTCAGCTAATAATAACAATCATTACTATTAGGTTAGTAGATGTAAATTTTACCATCTTTTCTTTTTTGTATTTCTCCCTAAGGTTTAGCATGGATGCTTTAATTTTTTACAAGTGGGTATATCAAAAATTAAATTTAATGATGAATCTGAAAGAAAATTGAATTCATCTAGTGAAATCGAACAACATGCTTTTTTCTTCCTCTTTTTTTTTGAAGTATTGATGCTAATAGATTGGAATACATGAATAGCTGAAAATCAATGGAAGAAAGCATAAGGTAATTTTGTATACAAAATATCAACGGTTAAAAACTGGATAAAGGCATTCAAAGGTGGAAAATGCAGCAAATCAAATCAAAGAGCTGACAATGTTTCAAATTATGGTTTAATACCAGAATGAACTGACATATTTACAGCTATAATGAATGAATCAATATACTGAACTCAGATCTCAAATCAAGATACTGAGCTCAAACCAAGGTCTCTCTCATTGCATCTGCATTCCACCTTTCAGTACATTTTAACAAATGATGAGCTTCTTGGAAGTGGAAACCTCATTTGACACATATTTAACTACAAAATTATAGATTTCAATCAACATGAAACTCTGAATATGCAGCTTACAAAAGTTTACTTGTAACCAGATAAGCAGCCACAAAATGTACCGTATTTACGCGAATCTAATGCACATCGTTTTTGGCCAAATGTAGTATTCAAAATTGGGGTGCGCATTACATTCGATGGCACATTAGATTCGAGTGCAAAGTTCGCCGATGACGTCAACCAAATTTAAATCGTAACAATGGATTACTGTATTTCTTGACTACATTTACCGTTACATTTATCGTTAACACATTATTGCATAGAGGATACAAACTGCAGAGTACGTAGTCACGAAATGGAGGGCAAACAGAGAAGAATGTCATATGGTGCTACTTTCAAACATAAAGTAAATCTTTATGCTTAAAAAATGGGAATAGAAAGGCAGGGAGGGAGTTCAACGTAGCTAGCAATGTTCGCTTGTGGCGGCAATAGAAATTGGCACTGTTTGCAACTAAAGCTAGTAGAAAGAAATTCACTGGCCCTCGCAAAGGAAGACACCCTAAAATTGAAGAAAAAGTTTTGGAATTTGTACGTGAAAGGAGGAAGAATGGACACCCTGTGACTAGTGTCACCATAAGAAATAAAGCAAAAGAGGAGGCTGAAGTTCTTGGAATACCGAAACAAGAGGTTAAGGCTAGCCGTGGATGGGTGGATTGGTTTATGAAGCGGATGGGCTTATGTCTAAGACGCCGTACAACAATATGCCAAAAGCTTCTTGCAGATTTTGAGGGAAAACTACTAACATTTCAGCGGTATGTCATCACACTTCGGAAGAAAAAGAATTTTTCAATGGGGCAAATTGGCAACTCTGACAAGACGCCAATTTGTTTGATATGCCTCGTAACACCATTACGGAGAAGGGGACTGAGGAAGTTATCATCAAAACTTCGGGATGGAAAAAAAAAAGAACGCGTAACAGTGATGCTGGCAATAACAGCAGACGGGTGCCCTTTCTTAATCTTCAAACGGAAAACATGTTCTAAAACCCCTAAGAATCAAAAGCTGTTCCCAGATGATTCGAAACTAAGAGAAGGGTTGGATGACGGAATCATTAATGCTTGACTGGCTCCGAAATGTATAGGAACGCCGTCCCGGAGGGCTCTCCAATCCACCATCAATGCTTTGTCTGGACGCATTTCGTGGTCATCTCACGGACGACGTAAAAAAGAAGATGCACAGCCTAGGCAGTGAATTTGTTATCATTCCTGGAGGGATGACGTCTATGTTACAACCGCTGGACGTTAGTATAAATAAACCTTTTAAGGGGTACGTTCAGGCGGAGAACGAAAAATGGTTTTGTGAGCCAAACCGTGAATTGACCCCGACAGGAAAAATTAAGCGTGCTGCACCGCACATTGTTACACTGAGTTTCTGCTGCCTGGAAAAGCATCGAAGCACCAAAGATTGTGAAATCTTTCAAGAAATGCTGCATTTCAAATTCATTGAATGGCAGTGAAGATGACGTGCTCTAGAACGCCGAGGATGATGATGATGATGATGAGGAAAGAAGAAATAAATCTGCGTCTGACGAAAAGAGCTGCGAGGATTCCAGTGATGAAAACAGTGAATAAAGACGTTTACTATTAATCACTAATTGTAGAAACTGTTAGCTAGATAGAAATGTTACGATTTATTTCATGTTCATATTTTACGATAGGTACCGTATATACGGTAGTGGTAATTAACAATGATTGTTTCACATAACAATTGCCCACTAATAGGTTAATTTTATGTTCTGCTACTTTATGTATAAATCCATTGTTGTATAAAATATGGTATCTAAATTTAAATAAAATTATCATATCATTGATTGATAGTTTATATACAAATCCATTGTTGTATAATATAAGATTCAATAAATTCCTCATATCATTGATGCGCATTACATTCGCCGACAAACAATTTTTTTATTATTTAAAGTTTTAAAATGGGGATGCGCAGTAGATTCGATGGCGCATTAGATTCGCATAAATACGGTAACTCATGAAATCACTACAAATGGTCCATTCCCTACTATACTTTGAGAAAGACATTTTCGAAAATGGTTAGTTAGTAAATATTTTAAATAATCGTTAATATACTAACCCTTATAAAACAGTGTACTATAGAATTCTATATTCCTCAAATAATTAAAACATACTTGACCAAACAAAAATTTTCATGATTTCAGTTTACCTTCAGTCCTGGTTTTTCAGCTTCAGATGTTGGGCTATTTTGCTAAATCAAAATACTAAACATCTTAGTTAATGTTAAACAGTTGGTAAGAATTGAAAATTTACCAGTCCAGTCCTAAATGATAAAAAAAAATTGAAACACACGAATAAAGTGCACTACCTATCATGAAAGGCAGTATATATTACTGATCTGAAGATACACAAGTCTCATGTAATACTTTCCATAGTTTTGATAAAAATCAATTTTAAAAATATTTGTATAAAAACAGTTGATCCCATTGTTTCAGTGATCACATTGACAGCCTACAGTATCAAGATAGCTACTTCAATGATATGAAGATATAGAAAGGACAAAGAATTCATTTTATCTTTTATAAAATAAGTAAAAAAATTGTCACTTAAAATTGCCTTCAATACTACCTTCTCATATCAAAAATTTCAATCCTATGTATTAAGTTAAATGCTCTAATATAAATTTTTAACAGCATTAGTTATGCAATTTAAAAATTGGCTATAAAATAAAATATCACTCTAAATCAATGAAGAGAGAGATGAATAATATACCGGTTCTGCTCCTTCTTTCTTGCTACCTCTTGGAACCTTGATAGTAAACCAACCAGTGCTATTTTGAATCTTCATGAGGTCTAAATATTCATCTAACATCAAAAGTTGTAAAGTTTTTGTATCGTTGGATAACAGATCTACACTGTCACCATATGAGTCCAAAATGGCTGGCCATGAAACAGCCTATAAATAATATATATCTTAACAATATTTTGATTGAGAAGTACACAAACATCTGTTTTAAATATCCCAGTTCCAAATATTTTATAAAAATGTTGAAATTAAAAAGCAAGAAAGAATGATACTTTTTGATGGCATTTATAACTAGTATTTGTAATATCCAGTCATAATATTAACATAAACACAAATAGCTGCATTTAAATATTTTATGCTTATGCTAACAATTGCGTAACTTTGATGGACAATTAATTCTTTATTGAAAATTTGAAATTTGTAAAAACATCCCTTCAAGCATATAACAAAATTTTAAAAAGGCAACATTAAAGATCAATAAAAAACATCCAGACTTTTCAGAAAATGTTAAAAATGCATAAACTTAAAAACTCATTTTAAAGAATTTAATAAAACCTCGTTCCTTTCCCAATGTATCTGAACAATTTTCAGACTTATTTCTATGTTCAGTTACATATGTTTTATAAAACAAGGTTCAGCTAAGTAACAGCAGAGAAAGTACAATTAATCAACTATGCACATGCTTTATGCATGATGCTTTTAAAATGAAATTTATACTGGTTAAATTATAATATGAAATTTAAAAATTGTAAAATGAAACTTAATTCCTATGTAATTTGTATAAATACTGAAAAACAAATATAACTAGAAAGTCACAATTAAGTTTATTGTACATGAGAATGAAGAAACATTTACCATTACACCAAGTGTCTCATTACCCCAGCATCCAACTTCTGACAATATATCACATACTTCAGGAAATACATAAACCGCATCTCCATGCTGTATAGCACGATTACTTAGGGTACCACCTTTAAACCTGGCAAATTGAATTCAATATTTAGTTACAGTTACACTAAAAAATCAAATTGACAATGCATTCTACTTCAGAAATAAACTAGAATATTTTATAATATTACCCTAATTAAATAATAAAAATCATGAAATAATAGGTTACACATAAAGTCTACGCTAAAATTTTTTAAATATTATTTAAGAGAAAATGCACCTTTTTTAAGCATACATTGTATTAATATGCACCAAAGTAGATATGTGTATGCACATAAATATATATGAACCAAAAAGCAATATCACTGAAAATTCAAATAATTAGGCTGGGCAGGAACTGAAAAATCAACACCATAAGTGCATTCATGTATTTCTCATAAATTTATAGCCTGAAATTTTTTTAAATATTTTATTATTTAAAAAAGAATTTTTTTTCATATTAACATTTTTGCATAGATTTTAATGCAAATATTTATTATATTTTTTAATAAAAACTTACATACTAAAGCTAGGTAAACACCAGGAAAGAGTGCAAGATGCTAAGAGATGCAAGATCAGATACGCTAAATTTAAATAAATTCAGTATGGGTGAAATGGTGTGGTGATGGCGATAAGGAGCGCGCCTTGCGCCCTCCGATAAGTGCGGCAACCCTAGAGGAGAAGTTTCTTACGAGTAGCGAGCAGAGCGAAACAGGCAGGCTGTCGGGCAGTGTGCGCGAAGTTCTTAAATAAAGCTTAATTTTTTATTGTGCACTATGTCTTGTTAATATTATATTAATGCAGTAAGAACATAATCTGTGATATGGAATTCGAGGATTGGTGGTAAAAACATAACAGGAAATCACCATAATGGTTAAAAAATTTCTCAAAAGCTAACTTTTAAAATTTTATATCACAATTTTTTTTTTTCCAAAGTGGAAAATGTTTTCAACTTTTTTAAAAGATCATTTTACTGAGAGATAGAGAGTGCTGGCAGTGCACAAATGATGTATATGTTTAGTTTTGGTTTAGAACTAGCAGCTAAAAAATGAAACTACGTAATCAAGTAATTATGAAGAATCATGCCTACATTCGAGAATTTTCGGCATCAATGGAACAATATAATATTTTTTCCTTACTCAAATTAATGATTTATTTTTCTATAATTCGGAGAAATTAGATGCCCTAAGCAATTCAGCAAATCTGAAACATAAGTGATTTTCAGGTCTAGAAAGACAATCACACCAATCATTATGAAAAAATGGGAAAAAAACTCTTAAGAATCTTGATATTATAAATGGCCAAGTAGTTAAAGTGTATTGAATAACAGTAGCTTATCTTAAGATCAAGCCCAGGTAAATGGACTGACTGCATGATTGGTTTCTGTATTCTTCCCATGTTTAATGTAAATATGATTCACTTTCCTTAAAAAGTCTTCCACAAAGACATCCTTTTCCTTAGGTAGATAGCCTACATGTGCTGTGTCACATTCAAATAACTTAAGAACACAGAATTAATATTTTTGAGTCAGAGAGAATCATGTTTTATTACAAAAAAAATGTTTCTAACATTCTTAATATAATTAAAAGAATATAACTCCCAACAAAGACCTAAAAATTGACAGAAAAATAAATATAAATACAAAAATTATTTTAAAATCATTTTTGAATACAAAAAATGATTTTAAAAGTACCTGCAAGCTTTATCGAAAACAACTAAAAACCAGGGTCATTGTCTTACAGCAATTTGATGCATATGGAGCATGTGTATTAATTTAAGATTGTAGAAAAGAAGTACCTATTTTTCAACAAATCATATGGCAAAACCATTACCAATTATTTAAAACATACAGCTTTGTAACAAATCATGGATTTTATTTAAAATCAGAAATTTAAAACAAAATGAACTGCATGCTTTTGTGCCTCTTTTCCTCTCTGCTCCCAAGAGACTGTGTATGCCATCAAGATACAGCATTATTGAAAAAAATACTTTATACAGGGATAATGCATTAAGTTATATTACAAAATCATGAACTGACTAGATAGAGAGTGCTGGCAGTGCACAAATGTTGTACATGTTTAGTTTTGGTTTAGAACTAGCAGCTAAAAAGTGAAACAAACTATGTAATCAAGTAATTATAAAGAATAGTAAAAAATGTTATACATCTTTGCAAATGTAAAGTATGTTAACATTTGAATAGTGGTTAAATTTGAATAGTGGATTAAATCTGATGATGGACGACTCTGCAGCCTGATCTGAAAATAAATACAGAGCAAAATGGATTTAATATTTTGATACTTTTTCCTTCATAATATCTCCCTTTCTCGAACAATGTACTATACTGGATGAATTTACCACAGCTGCATGTGGTTGCTTCGTTGTAAACAACTGAAAGAGAGTGTTTGGTACTATTGAATTTAGAGCACTTTTATTACTATTTTTTAAGTAAGGTGAGTTTTCTGATTAAATGTTTACACTGCTTTCTGTATTTAGTTAAGCTTGGCTTATTTCTAGGTTTCTTTTAAAATTCTTAGTGATAATGCATTAAGTTGAGAGTCCTTTCTAGAAATTTGAAGCATGACTAAAACTGAAACAGAAGTGCTTTTAAAGGACATATTCAGCAAATGTTCAGTTTTTATTTCTCTAAAATAGAAAATTATTCAAAAATGATAAATTTTAGAGGCCATGTGAAATAAACATAAAAACATTAAACTAAATATAAACATTGCAAGAATAAATGCATGGGCTAAGCATGGATTCAGCAGTTTCAATGCATTATTAATATCTATTTTAAGACATAAAAAAACATTGCTATAATTAGGGCTTAAATTCAGCTAGAGTCTAGTTCTGGTACACCTCATCTTTTTATTGAATTACAATTCCAGCCAGAGCACGGTGAAGCTCCAAAAAAGCTGAGATATAATGCTATATTGTGCAAATGAATTGTAACATCAAAAGAAAATTCTGTTATTAATATGATATTTTATTTAGCAGCTAATAAAACTGATATGGGTACTAACTGTAGAATGAATGCTTTAGTTTCTCTGAGAAGAGCAAAATGGGAAACAGCAGCAGCAAAGGATAAAAATTCTCCATGTTCTGTCAGGAAAAGGAATTTTTATGGGCTGTATTCATTTGGTCAAAATGGCTTCAAACAGATTAGAAATCAAAATAAAATGCAGTTTGATTTGAATACTTACTTCCCTTTTAATGGTACTTACATATTAATACAATCACCTTGGCACACTTAGGCACTTTTTTTTACAGAAGGAAAAGAATTGTAACTTAAAATAGCAAACATTTATTACATATATATTTTACATTTTAACTAAGTAGTTAATCTGAAAATCGATCAGCGAACCTACTTATAAGCAGGTTTTTTGTTTCTTCTGTTTTATTGGATATTTCAGGACAATCATTTTAAGAATTCAAAGCAAGTATTCTCTTCATCAGTTTTGTATCAAACTACTTTATTTCTACAGAAATTTTACTGCAAATGCATATTGAAAATTCCACAAGTGCATATTGAAAATTGTGTTCAAGGCTAAAAAATATTCCGATTAGTTTAAAAAAACATTGCAGCTTGGAATATGATAAAAAGAATGCACAGAAAAATTATATAAATCGTTTATTAAAACTGAAGGACTGCTTTGTATATAGCTGTCACAACTTAGTACATTCTGAAAATTAGACAATATCTACTAAGGTGGTTGAGATAATATGTAAGTATCCTTTTATACTCAGTATCATGTTTTGTTTCTATTAGTTTACTCACTTTTCATTTGCTTCATGATTTAACTTAATTTTTATGATGTTTTAAAAAGTTACTATTAATTTTCTCATTTTTATTTAATTTTTATAATACTGTAATTGACTATTTATTCACTTATTATGTATTAATTTAATTAATTCACAAGCACTTTATTCCTTTTATATGTACTTTAATTTTAATTACTGTTTTATCCATTATCATTTTCGTTCCCCATTTCTGATTGCTTTCCATATAAAAACCAGCATTTCTAATTTTAGGAATTACGACCTGGCAGGAATATCAAAACAAATTTAGTGCTTTCCACATACGAGCAATAAAGTAAAGATCTTCGATTAAATAAGCAAATGAAAATATATGTTTAACTTTATAACATAATAAAAAAGCAATTTTATAAAGTTTTAAAAATATTTCCATTTGCTTATGCAAAACGGCAACAGAAAATTAACTGATAAATTGTAGAAATTTTTTCTCAAAACAAGTTTCCTTGATCAGTCTATTGATTCTGCAAATACACTGGTTATCATAAATTAAGGAAAATCACAAAAATCACGATTACTGAAAAAGTTACATGTAGAATTTAATGAAACTTACCCACAATATACAACACATAGTAAGGTATCAAATAACACAAAAATAAATTACCAGACAAATGTGGTAGTATAGAAATTAGCACATGTGTAAAATGAACAAATCGAAGGTGTCAGTTTGCTATTGAAAAAATACCTTCAATACGGAATATGATAGCCTCTAGAAGCAACACAGGACATACAGCGATGTGTGATGCTTTCAATTATGCGGTCCATCAGTTCCATAGGAAGCGAGAGCCATTGCTCTTGCAAAGCAGTTGCAAGCACAACAAGGGTCTGAGGGGGCGGATTAAGACTAGACAGCTAGACGTCTCCCTAAAGCATCCCAAACGTGCTCAATAGGATTCAAGTCTGGGGATCGAGCTGGCCACTCCATTCGCATAATTGTTTCCTGTTGAAGATAATCATCTACGATGCAAGCCCTGTGTGGTCTTGCGTTGTCGTCCCGTAACAGGAAAGCATCACCTATTGCCCCGGCATATGGGCGCACATAAACATTAAGGATATCATCTCTATAAATCTGAGCATTCACGGTTCCCCTTAGAAAGACATGGAGGTCTGTGCATCCACCCAAAGCGATGCCACCCCAAACACAGACACTGCCCCTTCCGTATGCATCTCTTTCACGGATGTTTGACGGATGATAACGGGTTCTATGTTCTCTCCATATCAAATAACGCGTACTATCGCTTT